TCCGGTTTGGGTATAACTCCGCACAGTTTTATTTTCGGGGTGCGTCATGATGGCTTTCTAAGAGGTATCCCATCTATGCATTGATCCATCTCGAACACGTTTAACTTTAGTAAGTACTCTTTCATTTCACACCTAAATGCATCTTATCAGTTAATGTTGGATTATTATTTCTTAATAGTTCATGAATATCTCACGTGTTGTGTTAATGTGAGATTTTTCTATCCGAGTTACCATTATTCTCCAATCTTGTTTAATTCGAAAATTAATAAGATGAAAATATTATATACCAAGCTGATTGTCTTTCCCTCTTCGAATGTAAACCATGAAATAATCCTAGCTCTTCCTAATAATTTGTAGAAAGAAAAAGAAAAATTAGAAAAAAATGCAATTAGGTCGCTGTTTGACTTAGCTTGTCTCTTGGGGACGCTGTCTTTTCAGTCTTTGTCCGTTAGGGGTGGACAACGGAAAATGGGTGTTGGGTATACCGATACCCGTTCCGCTTTTTGAGGGATACGGGTACCCAAATACCCGTAAATTTTTTTACTGGATAGGACTTGGGATCAGTAATTTTTACATTGGGTACCCGCGGGTTACCTGTCAATATCCATTTGGGTAATACGAGTACGCGTAATACCCATCAACAAAAATTTCCTACACAATAGACATTACATAACCAACCCAACCCAAACCCAACTCCAGCCTCGGCCCAATATCCCAACCCCACCCCCTACCTAGCCAAGCTCATCTCCAAGTCCGACCTAGACTCCAACTTCTACCACTATATGAGAAAACAAGAAGATACCAAGAACAAGCATAACCTATCTTCCGTGGCAGCTTGGGCACTCCACCAACAATAGTTGTTGCTCCGTTTCTCTATGCTACTGTGCGCCTTATTGCTTTCTGTGTGCCTCTCGCCTCCTAACCTGCGCACTTGCTCTTCTTCTTCTTCTTCTTCTTCTTCTTCTTCTTCTTCTGACTCACCATCATCCCCTATCCTGCTTCTCGTGATCCTATCCAGCGCCCCTCTTCACCTTTCTTCTCCTAGCCACCGCTCCCCTATTGTGATCCCATTGTCGTCGGCCCCGTCCAACAGATCCTCGCTCGGATCGCCAACTACAATCTATGTCCAAGGCCCGAGTTTCTCTGTCACCAGTTGGACGAGATATACAGGTAGTTTGGGTATCTCGTTATCCATCCCGTACAGATAACAGGTACCCATTAACCTATATGGGTTTGAAACATAAAATGAAGTTTACTCTTGAAATTGGACAGGGTACCCATTTCATACCCTTCCCGTTGGGGTAATTATCAAGAATGGTCATAAAACTACTCACTTTGTACAAAACGGTCACAAACCTTTAATTTTGCACGTTTCAGTAACATATGTATGAACTAATAACAAAAAGGTAATTCCATCCATCTCCATCCAAAATTCTATTAGTTTAGTTCAGTCAATTGTCCTGTCAGCATCCACATCATCAAAACAATTAATACAAAATAAAATAAAAACCAATTAAACCCTAACCAAACCACCAACCCAACCCAACCCATTCCATCCCTTACTAAAATGCCCTTGATAAATAAAATACTCAAATCTTAAATTGCAGCGGAAAAGATTTTCACAAATAAAATACTGAAAACACACACTTGTAGTTCAAACCAAAGCCCTAACATGTGGGCAAATTAAACTCAAACTTTAAAATCTCAATCTGATCTCCAGTCTATACTCATAATCATAAAATGCAAATAACTAGGTAGTCTCTGTCGTTGCTGCTACTGAAAATCTTAACTAGGCATCCTCCGTGACGCTTACACTGCCCTTCTCTAGCTGGCTGCCCTTGAATTGCTGCTCACTAACTACTCCTCTAGCTCCTTCTCTAGCTCGTCAAACTGGTGCGTGAGATGCGGTCAGTCTACGCCTTACGTTTTAATAATTCTAATACTTGAGTACTTTACTTAAACACTTAACTTTGACTAGTGGAAGTTGTTTGTACTTCCAATCTTAAAATCTTAACTCTTAAACTTTGAGGGAGTTGAAGTTACTCTCCTCTCTTAAAGCTCAAATCTTGACTTAAATACTTGACTGACACGGGAATCCCTCACTAGCTAGTCCGGTTGCCAACTCATACGTATGAGAAGCCATCCAGGCTTTCCTTAAACTTAAACTTAGTTAGGGGAGTCGTAACGATTCATCCCCCTAACATCTTAAACTTATCGTGGTGGCTCTTCACCACGATTTTCAAGAGCATAACTGCTGCTCATCTTAAAATATCTCAAGAGCATAACTGCTGCTCATCTTAAAAGTCTCAAGAGCATAACTGCTGCTCTATTTCAAAATCTTAACTAGGCAACGGACTGGCGCTAGCGACTATAAACACTTAAAACGACTTCACCTTCTTGAAGGTGAGTTACTTCTTAAAAAGACCTTGTTTCTTAAACTTTAACAATAACTTATACTCATAAAATTTCAAGGTAAATAATAACCATTCACTTCAAGTCATAAGTCAAACAAGGCACATATCATCAACCATAATCAAGCAATGGTAACCAATTCACTAAAATGCTTAAAATCATAATACTTAAAAGAATACGTAAGGCGTAGAATTTACCCCCTTTACACTCACCTCGAAAAGACGACTCCTCAATGTAAGAGTGCTTGTCCCTGGTTACTTCAACTCTCTTCTTTAACCTCCTCAGCCACGTGCATGAGCAAGCCTTCAGTCAAAATTCCCACTTTTGTGCCGCCGCTTGATCAAAATAATAATAATGACTCCATGGTGCCCCTCGAGTCCCCTTTCTCCATTATCCAACCGTCCAAGCCTGCATCGCAGCTTGCAGGTACGTAAATCACCATCTTGGCAGGCTAATTCGTGGAGGCTCTCACTCGTCCCATCATCGTGGAAGTAGGGTCCAATTAATTCCGGGTTTCCACCATCACCGCTTTCAATATCTCGGTCCACATAAATCCGAGTGAATCCCATTTAATTCCACTCGTACCAAACCCGCTCTGTAATCCCTCTCGACCGCAGCCGCCGATCAACCGCCAATCTCCTACCTCGCTTGATTGTCATTCGCCTGACTCACCTGCTTGCTTGAATAATGGTCTTGCTTGCTTGAATGGTCCTGCTTGCTTAAGGTAGCACCTCTCGTAGTAGGTAGCGCCGCTCTGATCTCGACAGGAGAGCATCGCCTCCTGCTTGCTTAAGCTAGCACCTCTCGTAATAGCGGGGACGATCACGATCCCTCCTCTTACTCCCCACAAGCAAGCTGCTGGGAATGATTTTGCTCTGTCTCCTTGTCCATAACGCCGCCTTACCGAGTTGCTTTCGGGGAAGTAAATCGCGAGGGTTTTTTCCATTGGGGTCAGCCCGTGTGGGGTAGAATAAAAGTCCAGGGTTTTAGTTAGTCCAAGGTTATTCACACTTGCGGGTGAGTTTAATCCGAAACTCAGTTAATGCTCGTAACTTTCTCATTTTATGTCGAAATTCGACACCACTTGAATCGATAGTTCCCATTTTTAATCCTCATCGACAATACGGTGGAACTTGACGGTATAATAGCCATTTTGACTTTTGGGAAGAGCGGGGTGTAACACTCTATCTCCTTCCCTCACCGCACCACCTTCTCAGCTTCCACCCCAATTTATCGCCATAATAACAATCTCCGCACCGTCGTCGAGATCTGTCGAAATCTGCCAATTAAGCAAGACCTAGAGCATCGATTCAGCAAGTGGACGAGCCCAGAAACTAGATTGAGCAAGCGGAGGACCATAATCCCAAGAAGAAACATTGATTGAAGCGGTTCTCCAGGCATAATCTATACATCCTTTGTCTAAGTTTCTGGGTTTCAAACCTAGTGGGGTGATTGATCGTCCAATCTGCCATTGGAAAAACACGACTGAATATATGCCGGTCGAGAGGAAGAGAGACACGGCAGAACAGACGCCACCGACTCTTAGGTCGAATAGAGATCCTCTGGTTGATTTGCCCCTCTGCACATCTGAATCTCTGTTGTCCGAGCCAAGCAATTCCGACGTGATTTGCCTTTCTCCATCCAAGGACAGTCGACGAAACGAAAGGTGGGATTATGAGGGAGATGTAGTTGACTGAGAGTGAGAGTTGAGACGTAGAGTCATCGGTCACGGTGTGAGCGTGAGAGTGAGAAGCGGATGCCGATAAATGTTTCATTGTTAGATTCTAGAACCGGATTTTGATGGTGGGAAGCTCGATCCCAACTCTGCATCAGATCAACTCGCTGCTCCATATCGAAGAGTTGTTGGCTCCTTTACTAGCATCCCGTTAATGACCACCACCACCACCACCGTAATCCGACATTGATAATTAGTTTAACAAATCAGAAGGAGAGGGAAGGAAATACCGGTACAATTAACTATGGGACAAGCACCGTCGTCGCAGGTGGAGCAAAGGGCAACCTCGTCGGCGCTGCAGAAGACGCTAGCTTCAACCTTGTTGTAGACATCGCACCGGGTCTTCCTCAGTTGTGCGGAGATGGTGACAAAGAGGGAGAGGAGATAGAAATGAATGAGTTGGGTTGGATTGAGGTGGTGGTTGGTTAGGGTTTAATTGATTTTTATTTTATTTTTTATTAATTGTTTTTATGATGTGGATGCTGACATGACAGCTGACTGGATCAAACTAACAGAATTTTGGATGGAGATGGACGGAATTACCTTTTTGTTATTAGTCCAAACATATATTACTAAAACGTACAAAATTAAAGAATTGTGCCCATTTTGTACAAAGTATTGTTACCATTTATGATAATTACCCCTTCCCTGACCACCCTCGGTACCAGTAGTGTCCATCTCGCTCCAAGGAAAAAGAAATGTCCACCGTTATTGACGAGTTTAATAATTGGTCACTGATAGAAAAATATAAAAAGTCGGATTGGAACCATTGGATCGACACTGATCTCCACAAATCTCAAGATCCAATGGTTGACAACAACTCCTACATACATACATCTTATTATAGGTCGAAAATCACTTCATAATTTTTCTCTCTCTTCCCTATTTCTATTTCTTCTTTAATTTTTTCAACAGCCAGGCCGGTGCCTGACGTACCTGAAGAAGGCACTTCCCTCTTCATCCTGCATTTTCTGTTGTTTCCCCACTCTGGTTTTGATTAGATCTCACTCTTCTTTCTTCCTGATCTGGTAACCATCATCGGCGCGCGTTTCCTTCTTCCCTTTTCCTCTGCTTTCTCCCGGTTTCCCCTTTAGGATTTCTTCCTCCGTGTTGTAGGTTATCTTCCTTCTCTAGATTTGTGATTGAAACGGAGTCAATTTGTTCCGCTTCGAATCAATGGCTGCTCCGCCGGCAAGAGCTCGTGCCGATTACGATTACCTCATAAAGCTTCTGTTGATCGGCGATAGCGGTATGGTTTTCTCTACTCTTGTTGAGGGACCTTTAGTTGAATCTCTCAGATTGAAATGGCTCTATGTGATTTAGTGATTAGGTATTTGGGTGCGTGCTTAAGAAAATGCTTCTCGGTTAGTCTTCATAGGAACTGATAGCGGAGAGGACACTTATGTACTGCCGAACCAGTGGATGATGCTTCATTGATCTTCTGCGCCTATACTGTCTTGAGTTTAGTTTCGCTCTTAAGTTGTTATTTCACTCCCGTATTGGTTGATTTGGGGGGGAGGGGGGAGTGGGGGTGCACTGCTGGTTGAGGAAGTGTGTGCTTTAGAGAGGTGGATACTGGTTTTTTGAGCTTGAGGGAACATGATTCTTGTTTGCGCTGCGCTGTGTGGAGATGGGAGGTTGTTGAATGTTTAGTATGGCACCATTCAGTACAACAGATTTGAAGCTTCCATCATCGTGGGTTTTACTTGAACGCTAACATAGTTTAGCACAGATGTGTGTATGTGATTATAGAATGATGGAATGATGTAGCATTTTCACTTCCTATAACCAAAGGATGTGCTTTATGGATGTTTCTAGCTCATTCTATTAATGTATATTCCATTATCAGTTATCGTTACGGTGTTTGTGCTAGTAGTGTTCTTGTCGTCTTTGGCACACATATACTTACCTGTTTGTTATTTGTTTTTGTAGGTGTGGGTAAGAGTTGCCTCCTTCTACGTTTTTCAGATGGTTCCTTCACCACTAGTTTCATTACGACCATTGGGTAAACAACTACTGAAGTTGGCTAAAGTAGCGATTACCTTTTTGTTCATAATATAATTGCGTCTGATTTTCGAAATATTGTTTTCTTCATAATAGAATTGCTTCTGACTTTTGAAATATTGTCTTTTTTTTTTCCGCCCGTTCCAACAGCATTGACTTCAAGATAAGGACAATTGAGCTTGATCAGAAGCGGATTAAGTTGCAGATATGGGATACTGCTGGTCAAGAACGCTTCCGTACAATTACAACTGGTTAGTCTTAGGGCTTAAGGGCATTATAATGGACCACACACTTGATATTCATGCTGGTATTGGGATTTTAGCTTTCCTGTATTATGCTTTTTCGTTTTGCGGGAAAGAATGGTGCTTTCTTGTTCTATGCCTAGAGCTGCATTCTTACATTTCCAAAGACGGTACTCGATTCTATCCATTGATGTAAGAGTTGAAACACTTATGGTTTGACTGCTTCGATGTTCTTCCTCCTTATCACAACCACAGTTCTTCTCCTAGGTCCAGACAACTTACATATAAGTATAAAAGGATCATACCCTCTGGTGTCATGCCCAATTGGAGATCTAGTATGATTACGACTCTTTTCTAATTTCAAGATATCCGTTTGGAGAGAAGTGATACCATATGTCTGAGCTCTATGATGAATATCTAAACAGTGGCTCTCCATGACGGAGGAAATAATACAATATAGGCCTTGATTCTGAAGGTGTATACTAGAGTTGTTGGTGAGCTTGATAAGCACTTGATCCTTCCCCAAAAGTTGCTAACTTATAATAATCTCCCTTTTTTAATGTGGATGATGCGACTTACATCTGGATATTGCCCCATACTGCTACGACCATCTTCCTTGAGGAGTCTCCATCTGTGTGACATTATTATTTGTTTTACATTATCCTGGATTTCAATTATAATATTGATTATGTAAGAAGTTTTTATTTGCAATTATTATGTATCGGATCTTAATTATAATGACTAAGGCAGTCATTTTTGTTATTTCTCTTTTGCTTGGGGTTTGATCATTTTAATCTTGAACTTTGGTTTAGGGATCTAGTGTACAGTAAGGAGTTTTTATTTCATGATAGAAAAGGTTCTCTTAGTAGTTTCTGTTGTGAGTAGAGTGGGTGCTTACCAGTGTATAATCCATATGTGATGTCTGCGTTATCATCTGATAGCACTCAATGACAGTTTGGTTCGCTCTCTCTTATTTAGTCGCAAGATGGTGTGATATGCTTCCTTCTATGTGTTGTTTTGGGCCATTTCTGTAGTTGGCCTGCCTTTTGCCTTGATGCCTATGAACAAATGACCTCTGTCTGGCCTTCCTGCAGCGATTTTGTTGATGATTTTGTGCTTCTTTGCTCGGATGCTTTCTTCATGATTTGCATGCTTCTAAGTTTGACTTTCCATTTGTTAATCTCATACCGTTATTGTTTAAATCATTTGCTACCTAATATACTTTGTTTAAATAATTGCTAAAGTAATTTTCTTTTGCAGCTTACTATCGCGGAGCAATGGGCATTTTGCTCGTGTATGATGTCACTGATGAGTCATCTTTCAACAGTAATTGTTTTTATTTTGCTACGTTGAATTTTTGGTTCCCTCGTTGCCTCATGCCTTTAACCTGTTTCTTCTTTTAAGTTTTTGGTTGGAATGATTTATGGTTGTGTCCGTAGATATTAGGAATTGGATTCGCAACATTGAACAACATGCTTCTGATAATGTCAACAAGATCTTGGTTGGAAACAAGGCGGACATGGACGAGAGCAAGAGGGTACACTTTCAAACTGTTTGTGATATTACTTCTTTTCATGATTGGGGAGATGTTTTTGAGTGTTTGTACAAAGCTGATGCGAAAATTGAAATGTAACTTCAGGCCGTTCCTACCTCGAAAGGCCAGGCGCTTGCAGATGAATATGGCATCAAGTTCTTTGAGACTGTAAGTAGTAACTATTACTCTTGTTCTTGAGAAGGTTCTGAAATTATCCTAGATATCTATGATCTATCTCAAGTTTGTTATGTCATGCAGAGTGCTAAGACGAACTTAAATGTGGAAGAAGTTTTCTTTTCAATAGCTAGGGACATCAAGCAACGACTTGCAGATACTGATTCAAAGTCCGAGGTAAATATTCTGTTTCTGTATGTCTGATTTATCTAATGAATGATGAAGTAGACAAATAGGGATTATGAAGAAAGGAGCATGTAGACATAACTTCTCTTCTACATTGGAATTTGGAAATCATTGCCATTTACCTTAATTGAGGCCCCAGCAGTCGATAGTATCATAATGTTTTCACCCTTCAGCTTTACGGCTGTGTCCTTGGTTCTTAGTGGAAGCCTTATAAAGGTTAAACTGAAACCTTAAACTCAGACTATTCTGTAGTGTGTCTGGAGACAAGGATTTGTATTTTGGACTTGGAATAATTTCTTAGATTTCAAATCCAGTATACTCCAGTAGCTCTGCAACTGAGGCCAGCCTGAGTGCAAGCTGAAGTTGGGAGGGCATAATTTTGAAATGTGGGATATGATGCCCAATCATGCATATATCCCGACACTTCCTTGAATAAAAGGGGCAACCAATTTTAGAACATATGGCTAGTTACTACACCTGGACCCTTGTCCTTGGCCCCTTTATTTGTTGAGGTCCTTGAGGCGAGTAACAAAAAATGGTACCTATATGCTACTTAGTTGTTTGGTGTTGATAATTGGTAAATCACAGTTAGATGAGTGTTGGGCTTGGGGTCTGACTAGTGTCCCTTCCTCTTCTGACATACGGTTGTCGGATTCTGCAGCCACAGACGATCAAGATTAACCAACCAGATCAGGCTGGAGGTGCGAGCCAGGGTGCACAAAAGTCTGCTTGCTGTGGTTCTTAAAGAAGGAGGTTTCAAACACAGATTACAGGAATACCGTTGCGGTGGTGGTCTTTCATCGTATAGCCAAGTCTGTTGATTGTTGGTGGGAACTGGATTTTGTTTATCTGACTATTGTGGTTGATGCTGCTTGTATTATTCTCCTAATCACCATTTATTTTACAAGAAAACAAACAAGGAGGAGGACATTTGGGGTGTGAATTGGTTAGATGGTCTTGTCATTTGGGGAATTGTAATATTATCTCTCTCTGCGTTGATATGATTAAAGTTTAGGGCTGCTGTCAAACGGAATAACCTCCATTAATAGCTCTAGTGTAGTGTATTGAGATTTAGCTACCCTGTTTTCCCGTTCGTGGGCTGAAGAATGAATGGAATCCAGCATCTACTTCCACCAATGGGCAATGGGTAGTCAAGTCGCATCATCTGAAACGTCAGTTGGTGCTTTGACCTTTGAGAGGTGGATGCTGCTGCTGCAAGGGGAGTTGGAGCTTGTAAATTTCAGGTGGTCCATTTAATTAGAATCAGGTGGATTGATTGCAGAAGGAAAAGAATGCCTACGCAAAGGACAGGAGCAGCATTATGGCGACACCAACTGGCCCCACTCTGAAGAATTCTCCGATTATTAGTTTGATTGACAGAATGGAATCCAAAAGACACACACCGATACATTTATGCGAGTTTGACTAAAAAGTTGGAGGCTCGAGCAAGCTCTCTTTTTCTTTACGGACAAATCTTGTTTGGAGGAGATAAACATATGCAATTATTGTACCTAATGAATTCGACAAGCACCTAATATATCAGTCCAGGCTAGGAGTCTGTGTTTCTTTATATCTATCAATTGCCTCATCTTATCTCTTCCTTACGCCAGCCTAATTTCAGTTTCACCCGTCCGTCCTTGCAAGAATACGAAACTTGTGCACCAAATCAAGTGGGATTGGCTTTTTGGCAATTCCCCATTCCTTTGGCCACTTTTCTGTTTTGCTCTTGTCAGGAACTGGAATATCTCCTCATCTCTTCTTTTACTATGTTTCTATTGCCAGGAATCCTGCTTGGTGGGAAGGGAATCCGAACTGCCTGCCTGCCTTATGCTCAAAAGAATTTAGACCTAACACCACATAACACACGAGATTCTCGGCCGTTTTCATTTATCCATCCCATCTCATCTCATCTCATCTCATCTCATTGTAAAGCAAGCCCAAAAAGCAAACTCACCAATTCATTGCCAACAATGGATTCATGCAATTTGAAAAGGTGTAAATGCCTTATTTGGTCACTGAGATTTACTAAATCATATCATGTATAGTCATTAGAAAACATTAATATCAATTTTGGTCGCTCGAATTACTGAAACATGTCACATCTAGTCACTCTCCGTTAGCCTCCATCCAACTCCGACCAATGGAGAGTGACTAAATGTAACATGTTTCAGTAATTCGAGTGACCAAAATTGATATTAATTTTAGTTGGACGAAGGATAACAAAGAGTGACTAAATGTGACATGTTTCAATAATTCTAGTGACTATATCTCATTTGCTTAAACTTCAACCATTAGATATATCCAATTGTTTGAGTTTGATAATAAAATCGGTATACTTTGGGTGTTATGCAACAGAACCTACGCCAAGGTTCTTCACCTTTATGCGTCCATGAAAATGAAACGAATTATATAAACAAAAAGTGAAAATCAAGTAAGTAAAATTGCAGTAAAGAAAAGGCAATACATAGTGTTTAATTAGTAAGTATGGAAGATAGAAAAAGAACGGAACAATGTCAAAAATGAAAATAGGAAAGCAAAAAAAAAAAAAATTTGGAATTTCATTAGATAAAAAGCAATGATATAGTTTTTAATAAGCAAGGGATGTCAAAGTTTACCTGTTTAGACGACACATTACATATAGACGGTCTATTATATAATAAATTTTTTACAACCATCAACAACATTGTTGCACACATGGAAATATGATATATAACGACCACACATGGATAAAATATATTGATATAATTTACTAATTTTATTCTATAGAAAAATGCCACATGAATACAGGAATGCTATTAATTTTACTTAATAAGTCAATTTTTTCACTTAATAATATTATCTATAACTAATGTTGTAAGCACACAAAATATCATTATGTCTCCTAGTAAATCATAATATAAGTAGGGATGGCAATTACCCACCCATGGGTATTCTTGCCCAAATCCAATTATACCCATATATTATGGGTAGGGTATGGATTTATTTTATATAGGTTTGGATAGTACATGGGTGATGGGTAGGTGGATTTGGATTTGGATTTTGTTTTCAATGTGAAAATGGATATGGGTTGGATATGGGTATCCATCACTTTGGACCTGTTTGTAAATGTTTATTGATTTAGGTACTAAATGTAAAACAAAAAAAATTGAAGTATCAAATTATAATTTTTGTATAAAGTTCAGGTACTAAATAGTAATTTGATATGTAAAATTAGCAGCGAAACCTTCCACCGGAATTTCTTCCGTCGACCGGTCTCTCCGCCAGTTCGCCGGCAGCCGGAAACGTCGTTGGCGACTCTGGGAGTCTGGGACTCGATTCGCCGGTGAACCTGGAGCGTGCCTCAACTTCGTCGGAGCCGGAAAACGTCGCTGGTGAAGCTGGGAGTCTGGGACCCGATTCGCCGGTGAACCTGGAGCGTGCCTCAACTTCGTCGGAGCCGCAGCTCAGCCCGTTGTTGAACAGAGCATCGGGAAAAAAAAAAAACAGGGGAGGGAGAAGAGAAGTGAAAGTGATGAGTTGAATTGTGCCGGAGGCGTCAGAGCCGCTGTTGATCTGAAGCTTCCATTCATCGACTTCTCAAAGTCCCCACCTAATCTCCCTCCTTCTCTATTTTACTCAGAAGAAGATGATCCCAATAAGCCCCGTCGCTTTCTGATTTTTCGTTTCAAGGTTTTTCTGGTTTTGGGTCTTTCTTCAAGTCTTCCCTTCTTCACCCGGGATTTTGAGACTCTGAGTTTTGTTCATTTTGTGATTCTAAATCTTGGGTTCGGCTCGGTTTTGTGTATTATGATGGATTTATAGAGATAATCGGCTGTATTCAGTTCGAATTCACAGGAAAGCTGTAAACTTCATCCATCAAACCACCATTACGACCCTTGTCGGTGGGATCTCCCTCGAGGGTTGCGGGACCTGAGAGTTGATCGCATCATCCATCATAATACACAACTGCTGGAGGAAGTCGAAGAAGAAGGGCTTGGCGTTGGACGTTCCTTCCTTGGGGATGTACTCGAAGCTCTGGGCCGCTCTCTTCTCGATCCGAAGAGACAAACGGAGGCAGTGGGTTCCAAGGCTCGAGCTGGATCTTGGAGGAAGGGATCAGATCTCTGGTGAGTAGCGATCTCTCACGAATCAACTGCGTTGCAATCGAATGCTGGAGTGGGTTCGACAACGATGGCGGAGCGGGTGCGATCCAGTGGGTCGGAGCTCAGAGGGGATAACGATGGCGGCGATGGCTGTGGCGCCGGCGAATCAACTGCGTTTCGAATCGAATGCTGGAGTGGGTTTCAACAAAGATGGCGGAGCGGGTGCGATCCAGTGGGTCGGAGCTCGGAGGGGATTACGATGGCGGCGATGGCCGTGGCGCCGACGGCGGTGGCCGGTGGGTAGTAGACTACTGAGAGTCTGAGACAGCTCGGAAGAAAAAAGTCTCGAGTCTCGACTGAGATGGAAGTGAAAGAGAGAATCTCGATTTTTTTTTTTGTTTTTCATTTTTAATTATTTGGGTTTGGATTGTTTTATCCAAATCCATGGGTAAACCCAAAGTAGATCCAATATAATGGATTTGGGTTTTGACCCATCTGACTTCACCCATTTGAATTTAACTTGCACTCCAAACCCAACCCAACAAGGTTGGATAATTAAAAACCCATGGGTATGGGGATTTTTGCCATCCCTAAATATAAGCATGTTAATATACATAATTATAGTATTACTGAGCAATTTTTCTTGTTCTAGTGTTCTATAATAGAGGGTTGTTCTTTGGTTTCTTATTGTTTAACTTGAAATGAAAATGACTGACTCTCTAACTACAATATTAATTCCCAATCGACGGCCAAGTCTAACCGACGACCGGATGTAACATAGGGTAAGCAAGTAATAAAATTTATCGAACCATGGGAATCTAAGCTTACCTTACTTCGGGTTAAGGTTTCGTTATCTAAACAACCTAGAATAGTGATTGGGAAAACTAAGCTAACTAACCTTGATAACCACTAACCTAGCTAATTAAAAGTTTGCGAGCTCTCTTGGGTTTGAATCCCCCTAGTTCCGTCAATTGAAATGATGTTGAGTACTATCTAAGCTCGTAGACCTGGTAATCGGGCCGGGTTGGGTAATTTCGGGTTGGGGACATCGGTTACAGGTCGAGTTATGCTGCGTTGGCTGATTTTGGGTCAAATATTGTCTCAACCCATTCGGTTTTGGGTCGGATTACAAGTAATTTCGGGTTATGAACCCTCTCAAAAATAATATCAAGCATGCTTCATATTTTCTTAAAGAACACAAATTTTCACATATGCATGACAATAGTTTACCTAACACATGTCAATTAACATATTCTCAAATCCTCCCATGGTAATTAAATGAAATACAAAATGCGCAAATCGTCAAAAAACAATCACAAGAGTAATACTACTACAAGAAACACATGATATTTGATTATCCTTATACTCCAAACATGTCATTCAAATCCTTGTGAATTTTTTAAATATCTCACCAACTTATGAGTGATTTTATCATTTTGGAAGTGATATATAAAATGGAACGGGTCTAATGATTTGACCAGCTAACCCACCCAACCCAACCCAAAAAATCACTTGTTATCGGGTTCAGGTCATTCGGGTTTCGGGCTATAAAAACCATAGTTAGAAAAATATGGTACGAGAAAGTTACGTATAAAATACGTACGGGATTTTACTTTGTTTCTAAGCTAATGTTACGTTTAATAGTACGTTAATAGTCATAAATATATAAAATTAATTATTTTAAAAATAAATAGTAAAGTTAATAATTTAATTCATTAAATACGGATATTAAATGTGAAATGGAAGCGACCCGAAGATGGCAATATAATGGGCTCTAAGGGAGTTTTCTCCCTACTAGGTCAAAAGCTTAATATCTGAAATGGAATCAAAACTCATGCAATCGATGAAAACCATCTATTAAGTAGATAATAACTAAATCAAACATGGAATATGTCACATATATCAACAATGAACCAAAATCAAGACCTAGGGTTCATCAATCTAAGAGAAACAGGTCTTGTTCGTAGAGAAGAGGAGAGAGATTACAAAAATGCTCAAGATCTTCATCTTCTAATTGAACCTTTGACTTCAAGGTCAACCCAAGCCTTCAATTAAAATCCAAGATCACTCTAGAACTCTCATTGGTGTTTTCGGTCGAAACCCTAGAG